TGTTTTCAAGATTTGTATAATCAGTCAGATTCAATGTAACATGATACTTTTGTCAGGCATTCTTTGCTCTGTTGCTTCTTTTGTTTCATGAAAGTCTGGATGCTGCAAAAGCTGTTTTTATTTTAATTTTTTTTGATGTACGAATTGTGTACAAGGGTGTTGGGTCTTCTGTCAGGCTAAATGCCTTTAGCCCCAACATCCTTTTGTTTCTTGTGTCTTGTACAAGAAAACAATAAACCAATTTTGAAAATTGAAATTGAAAATTGAATTGAAATTTAAAAACAAGAGTTCGATAAAAACTTATAATGTTAGGATGATGCTAATTATGGAAAAAAGACAAAAAAACTTTCCGACTTTCCCATAGAAGCCTTGTTCACCAACCATTGTGAACATGACATCCGTATAGAAGCCAAAACATCATTTTCTTTCAGGCCTTTATTTGGTGCACTTAGTTTTTCTGATGGAAGAATTTCAACCATTGGTACAGGAGAAATAAATAAATAAATTTTTTTCTCAGAAAGTGCGCATCTTTTTTGTGATAGACCCTACATATACACATCCACTATTTAGAAACTTTGACAAATATAAATGCCCACCTCTGACCCATTGGCTATGCCAGTGTTACATCAGCATGATTACTTTTTTTTTTTTTTGTAGACTATGAATTTAGACATCCAAACATCACTCAGGAAACATCAACTCACCACTACAAAACTAAAAGCACAACAAAACAAAATCAAGAACAGTTATATCTGATACATGTCTTATTTCATTCTTGGTATTTTTATTCATGTGTTTCATGCTTATTCTACTTAATTAGTTATGCACAGACAAATCCAAACTTTCTAATTTTATTTCTTTGATTAAAGTAGCAATCAATAGTTTACAGGAAAAAATCTGCAAAAGAAGGTGATCTAATCACGTGTACAATTACCTTTTTGATCAAACTCTGTACTTTTCAACACTAAAAGGACCTTGACCCCCCCCCCATGGTGTCCTAGCAGTTATGGTGCTCGGAACTTTCTGCATTCAGAACTTCATAATGGTCATCTGCTACCGCTTGAATGCATACACACACAAAATAACAAGACTGAACTTGCGTCACTCAGGGGATCAAAAATGAAGTGAGAGATGTTGCGCATGCATCGTGCTTTCCACTATCAGCTACATAACACCTGGTTTAAGCATTAAATTCTTTGCACAAGGCTTTGCTAGATTTTTCCTGCTAAAAGCTACCTTCTTTGTGACTACTTCACAACCGTGTTAAAGGCGGCACACTTTTCGTGACTTGCTTGGTCAAAGTTTTCCGGTATGTCCCAAAGTTGCGACAAAATTCAGTAAAGGTTTTCATAAAAGATCACCTTTTAGCAGAACGAATCAGTTGTGTAACCTCCACATTAGAAACACTGGCACCCCTGCCCTTCTGGGCTTCACTGGGATGAAGTCCGGAGATGTGGCGACTGAGGGCACTTTTCTTTGAAAAAGATGCATTGCAATGGGTACAAGAATATGGACGCTCTCCTGTGTGGGCATGTATGTGGTCTGTGAGGTTGATTTTCCGTCTAAAGGATGCATCACAGTGAACACAAGAGAAAGGGCGCTCTCCCGTGTGGATGCGCATGTGTTTCTTGAGGTGGCTTTTCTGGGAAAAAGAGGCATCACAGTGGTCACAGGAAAAGGGACGTTCACCGGTGTGGGTGCGCATGTGCTTCTTGAGGGTGTGGCTCAGCCCAAAGGCTGCGTCACATTGGTCACAGGAAAATGGGCGCTCTCCAGTGTGGGTGCGTACGTGTCCCCTGAGGTCATGCTTTCGTGAAAATGATGCATTGCAGAAGAGACAGGAAAAAGGACGCTCTCCTGTGTGGGTGCGCAAGTGTTTCTTCATGCTCTGTTTCACTGAAAAGGACACATTGCACTGGGTGCAGGAGAAAGGACGCTCCCCGGTATGGGTGCGAATGTGCTCTGTGAGGCGGACTTTCACCACAAAAGTAGCCGGGCAAAGGTGACACTGGAAGGGACGCTCCCCTGTGTGCCGGCGAAGGTGCACATTCATGTGTCCTTTATCCGTGGTCGTATAGGCACACTGCCGGCAGGAATGCAGTCCATCTTCTACACACACAAGCATTTGGTACTGGCCACGGGATTTCGCAGAAACGGAACCTGCATAGCCACAGGAAGCACAGCAAGGCAATGCAAATCATAGATCCCACAACATACATATAACTAGACTTGAGCAGCAAAATAACAAGAGTTGCTGCACTTATAAATGAGTGTATACGATAACCTTCACCATTGCAAATGTGTTACTTTAACAAAGCAGTACATTGATTCAGAACATGCCTCATACCAATTGCCATCTACCTAAGCACAGATACTTAATCGATGCAAGTACCACCAAACTTGAATATTACTACACCAAAATAGGAAAACGTGTCTCTGTAAAGAATATATATTTAGTTTTACGCGGCTCAGGAAATTCAGACTAGCTCAAGAAATTCAGAATAGCTTAGGAATTCAGACTAGCTAGAGCCCTCTACTGAGGACCTATGTTTAAGTACATGCGCCTGTCGTATTTCGTCCACACCGAAATGCGACCACTGCCGCCGATATTGAACGCATGTTCCCACACTAACCCATTTAACTAATTATTAGTTCATTGCATAAAAGCATCTATATTCCCGAGCAGAGGAAAGGCACTAAATAAAATATGAGCAACGTTTAGTATGAAACAAACAGGACGACTACATATTGTGTATTGATTGGACACTTTCTTGAATTTCACTGCTATAACACGACTGCAATAATCCTGAGCCTAATGAAACAATCACCGCATCGGCTGAAAAGATTTGAGGCACTCCTCAGTTTATTATATCATGCCAAAGATAACCAAATAAGGTGTACGTTACCTTCACAGAGAGTAACTGTATTCGCATCATGTCCATCATCAACACTCGGCTTCTCGTCTACTAATGCCAAAACTTCATTCGCATTATGCCTGTGATCAACGATCGGCTTCAAGTCCACTGTAACTTCATTGGCATAGTGTCCGTGATCAACACACGGATCCACGTCCTCCGTAACTTCATTCCCATAGAGCCCATGATCAACACTCGGCTTGTTGTACACCAATGCGATAACTTCATTCGAATAATGTCCGTGATCAACTAACGGCTTCAAGTCCACCGTAACTTCCTTCGCATAATGTTCGTGATCAACACTCGGCTTCACGTCCGACGCATATTCATTCGCATAATGCCCATGGTCAATGTTCGGCTTCACGTCCGTCGTAACATCGTTCGCATAATGTCCGTGATCAACAGTAGGAATCACGTCTACCGCAACTTCATTCGCATAATCATTTTCTTCAACCAAGCCTTCAACACTTGGTTTCACATCATTCACTGCACTAGTCGCTGCCAGAATGCCGTCCATTGCACCATCGCCTTCTCTAGTTAGGATGCTATGAACTATAGAGAAGGCCATTATTGCGCACGTTTCACCTAGAGAACGTCGCCCGTCGCGGTTTCACTTTACGCAGCGGTCAGGAATGAAGGTACCACTCAAACCTTGAACAACTAATGCAAATAACACCAGGATAACTCATTCAAAAGTCCTAGATCTGCGAGACGCATAGGTAGCATAGTTTTCTGGCTATTATGGCTATACTTCTTTTATCGCGGTTGTCAATGATGATGGTTGTTGCCAAAAATACTCTCCACTGGGTTTTCACGTATCAAGCCAACTAAACGAAAGAATTTTTTTTCTAAAAATGTCGTTTTTGGTGTTTGCTTATGTTGAATTCTTGTCATTTTGGTGAACAGAGATTATGTGTATACACTTTTGTGGAATAGATACACGCAAAGAGACCACGGGTCAATTACTAAACCGAAACTGAAAGTGCTTTGTGTACATCATAGGATTAGTTTAATGATAGTATTTTGTTCGTTACTTAACAGCAATCATATCAAGTGCTCAACATGTCATAATGATCTACAAGCATCGTTAACGCGTAACGTGGTACAGGTGTTGTTCACGCTCAAGGACACGTATGTGAGTATGTGTGAACCATCACTTAGAATCAATTGCTTTGTTAAATGAAGTTACCCACTGTCGTTCTCCCTCTTCAACACGGCCCTCTACAGTATCTTGAGTGCTTGTCTAGCGGCCCACGGCCACCTGGAACCGGGCCATAGACCCTACCTGTCAGCAGGCGGTGCCAGTGAGCGGCGCTTAAAAGATGAGAGGGTCGCGAAGTGTATGGATCCCCACCCCTCTCTCTTTCTCTTTCTTTTTTTTTGTAGTAGGTCGTTTCACACATCCTCCTCAATCGTTTTTTTTTCCTTTGCCTTTAGCTAGAGATATTTTTACGCCTGCATATTTATTAATGCTAAGCCACTGTACACGCGGCATAGAGTTTCATGCACGCGCACCACTTCATCATCACATAACATCGTTTTGTGAAAAACTGCTTGATTTTACTCAAGCAGGTTTATATAAACATTAACATCCTTAATTTGAGTATGGCCCCTAGGACCATTATATGACGCCAAACGCCTACGTCTTTTCTTTTGCGGTCTGTTGATTGTCGCAAAGTACTAAGTGTTGTCTGATGGTCCTGTAGACATCGCCAGAGAATGCAGGCCAAGCGCTCACGTGTTCCCTGTCATAAAGGAAGACATTGTACATGTGTGTGTCATTTCAATGATGGCTGTTGAAAATAAAGAAGTGGTACAGGGGCTTGTGAAGAGGCGCGAGAGACTCGGAGAATACGAACTAAGCAAGAAGGCTATCTTGATATCCAAAAATGCTAGCCACAGGTGCCTCTGTTCCTTTTCTGCTATTTCGATACACTGCGCAGTGAGAACAGATTGTCTTCCAACATCCTGTGTTTCCGAAACCCTGTTCTGCTGTTCCCACCAGCACCTCCTTATTCTCTATCCATGCCTGCAATCTTTCCTTCATAATCTGCATCGCTAGCCTGTAGACCACTGATGTCACTGTTATAGGATGATAGTTGTTTATGTCAGCTTTGTCCCGCTTTCCTTTATAGATCATGCTCATCCTGCTAGTTGGGGACTTCACCATCGATTATATTTGGTCACTGCCTCTCTCGAAGCCTGCTTAACTTCGGACCTAATGTCGTTATAAGCATAATTGAATGCCAACTGGGCCTGTTGATGTACTGCTAGAAAACCTCTTCTCAGCTCTTCCCACTCTTGTTGTGAAAATGGAGCCTCTGCGCCGCTTGATTCATCACTGTCTATTGTGGTGCATAAAGCACTTCTTTGTTGAAATTTTTCTGACACTCTTGTTTTTATATATTCAATAGCTTCTTCTTTTTCTAGCCTAGCCCCTTGAGCTGTAGTTTTAAACCTCTGCTCTAGGCTCGTTAGCACTGGAGTTTGCACGACCGCCCCGGCGGTGAAAGCGAGCACTTCTCAGCTGCTCCTGGAGACGAGAGTGGCGGCTGGCAGAGGCGGTTCGTGTGCGCATTGCCGTAACAAAACTTAAGGGCGGTGGCGTGCTGCGTATTCAAGTGCAACAGTGTATAAAAGCAGGGAGGACGCGTAAAGGAAATGAAGGACTTAAAAAGAGGAGGCGGCATTGTGTTCAAGCGGTCAGGTGAGCAAAATTACGCTCTCTTTCATCTGTCAAGTGCTGTAAGGCTCGTTTTCACACCGAATGGCACGTGTCTGCTTTGTTTATTCGATAGTGAGGACAGCCACCAGTGAAAACCAAGGCCAAACATTCAAGTTTAAAGGCGTTTTGCCAGAAACAAAGAAAACGAGCGTATTATGGAACAGGCGGCTAATGTAAACTTTTTTTTTTTATGAGGCCCGCTGAGCATTGAGACATGCACTTCAGGACTAACAGGTTACCATGCGTTCCATCCATCTGACCATCACCACCAAACTCCATCTGATGCCACCGCGTGAAGTGAATCATACAATAGGCCAAGTAGTCCTCTTGTTTGTGTGTGAACTGTTGCGTGTAAGTAAAGTTGCTTTGTCCACAATACTGTGCGGGGTCACGTTCAGCTACGCCTGTGCTCGCGGTGAGCACTCGATGCCAAGATGCCTCTGCTTAACTTAATTTGTGCAAAACACCAAGTTCTTGATACGAACAAAGCAAGCGGACTATTTGAAGCTTAGCTTTGTGGAGACAGCAGATGCGCTAGCGTTTTTTGGCTGACGGGGCTAAGTAACATCAAAATATATGCCTTGCTAGAGAAGTATCAAATGTCTTCGATTCTTACTCAGTTGTTTAGTTCGCCTAACACACAGTTTCCGTTTTTCCGCTTGCCTGTGTCGGCTAAATGACGCTGTCTGTTCAAACATCGATAACTGGTAGGCTCTCATGTGCCAAACAAAATATCATTTTGAGGTACGCTGTATAGGATGCGTATCAAAATTGTGACCCGCTTGGGGTTCTCCAATGCGCACATATATCTGGGTTCTCGTTGCTCTTTTATATTTCACCCCCGTCGAAGTGCAACTGCAGTGGTCCGCTCATCTATCCCGCTCCCTGCAAAGAATAGCCGCGTGACACCACACGTGCTATGCTGTCATGGTGGTGGTGCTGGATCAACATCCCCGTGCATAAATACTGCAGAACAGGGCGTAAAAAATGAGACCAGGAAAAAAAAAAGACGCAGATACCACCTACTCTGCTTTTGTTTGTTTTACTGCAGATGTTGGCAACAATGGTATAGTCGCAGCACGGACGTAATTTATTAATGAGGCATGTTGCCCAGCACTAGATTAGCCCAAAACAAAGCACACAACCAGAAAATGAGGACGAGGGAGCTGCCATCACGGCAGAGAACTGTTCCTTTGATACTATATATGCATAGACGCAGTCTGCTTTGCAGGGCTTCTCTCTGTGTTTAGTGCTTTTATGTGAGAGTAGCTTAGGACAAAGTTATTTTTTCTAAACCACAATGCAGTATTACTGGCGCAGTGGCTTTTCGAGGTGTTCGTTCCAAAATGAAGCACGGCACAGCACGCGCACGTGGTCTCAGAGTGTTACTTTTGATGGTACACGGCGGCCGGTCGTCCTCAAGCGCCAGCAGCTGACTTGTGTCGCGACTCGGCCCCCAGGTGCTCTTTTTCGTGGTGGGCCACCTTAGATTACAGATTCAGTAAGGAAAATCAGCATCATGATTTTAATGATAATGAGGCAGCGAGCTTAGGACACAGGAGGTCTCGTGCACAGCGATAACAGATAAATACAAATATCTGAGCGTATGGATAAGCATGGGACCGAGTACCTAAGGGAACTTGAAAAAAACGTAACGACTAAAGGTAACAGGAATGCACAGTAATGAAAGATAGGGCACTCTGGAATTACAATAGGTATGATGTTGTGAGAGGAATATGGAAAGGTGTCGTGGTTCCTGGTCTGACGTTCGGCAATGCGGTCTTGTCCGTGAGATCAGAAGTTCAAGCAAGATTAGAAATTAAGCACCGTGGAATAGGTAGGCTTGCTTTAGGAGCTCACGAGAATATGCCAAATCAGGGAGTACAAGGTTATATGGGATGGACATTATTTGAGGGCAGGGAAAGCTAGCAGCAAGATAAAATTTCAAAAGTCTTGAGAGAAAAGGGGGAGGAGCATTGGGCTAGGAAAGTTTTCAGCTACTTGTACATGAAGAAGTGCGATACAAAATGGAGGAAGCGAACAAAAAATTGATTGGTAAATACTTAGAAAAACAGCAGGGGGCAAACCAAAAAGAATTATCGGTTAAGAAGAAGGTGAAGGAAGCCGAGACCGATATGTGGAGAATAGGCACGATTAAGAAGTATGCACTAGAGATCTTTCACACTTTTACGCAGGAAATTGCCAAGGAAAGGGTCTATGATAATACTCGGGGTAGTTCTCCACTGTTTAGGCCAGGGCTGGAGTATTGCGAACCAAGACTTATCAGCCCAATCACAAAGGGTAGACACGGTATGCAGTGCATGTGGAGAGGAGGAGGAAACTGTTGAACACTTGATAATGTTCTGTAAGGGGCTTCACCCTATAGTTCAGGATGATGGCGCAGAGTTTTTCAACGCACCTGGTGTTTAAGGACAGGGAGGGCAAAATAGACTATAAGCGGGTTGAATTAACTAGAAGGAGGTTATCTGTTGGTGGCTAAAGTCAAGGCACGAGTGAAAATTAAACCCTTCACTGCAAACTACCAGTCCTCAACTTCACCATTTAAAAGAAAAAAAAGATAAACCTAGTTTTTGGTTCACTAAGCAGTAAAGCTAGGAGAGGTTAGCCGCCGCCCAATTTAAAGGGTACAGCCATATCAATCCATCCATCCATCCATCCATCCATCCAACCTATCCAGCGCTGGTCTCTCATACCTGCGGCATAGAGTTTCATACACGCGCGGTGACCTATTATAATAGAAACGGCACCACATCATCATCAACCGGTGACATTTAACAATAATTTTGTGAGAAACTGTATGATCTAATTCAAGGAGGTTTCTATGTGACGCCAAAAGCCGACGTCTTTTCCTTGCTGTCGGTTGATGATGGCCGCAAAGTGCTGATGGTCTTGTAGGCAGCCACCACAAAGTGCAGGCCACGCGCTCACATGTTTCCTTTCATAAATGACGATAGTGTACATACGTGTGTCATTTCAATGATGGCTGTTAGAAATAAAGAAGTGGAGCAGGGGCTTGTGGGGGAGGTGGAAGAGATTGAGAGAAGGAGAGGGACGAAGTAAGCAGGCGGAGCTAGCCCTGACAAAGTAAACATCGTGGTTTAGAATCGCGACACGGGTCCTTTTTCTTAACAATGGCAACACAATGTATGTAACAATGTATGGTATACCCCATACACCAGGGCCTTCTCCTGTTGGCAGTGTAGTGCTGCGGAATCGTTATCATAAAAAAGAGAGAGAGAAAAAAAATTCGGCAGATCCCACGTACCTGGGAATCAACATTATGCAAACATGCAGAGGGGAAAGTGACCGTGTTGCAACTTTTTTATTCAGCGACACTTTATGAAATGGCGCTAGAATACGTACAAATGTTACACGCACAGACATACATTAAAGAGTTGCAGATGATTATATAAACAGTTGTTCGCACTTGTGCAACGATGCCAACAGAACATACGTATTAGCAACACACGCTTCAAACATTCTTCAAATCGCTGATGCTCGCAAGGATGCTGGCCCTAGACAGTGCTACATAAATCAACTTCAGTGCAAGGTAACTAACCACAATCGACGTTAACTCGACGTGACTGCTCTATCAAAGGAGTACATATGTGATGTTTATAAAACTGGGTAGGCAGCACTGTAACCACATTTGGCGTTTCACGAAGATCAGTGTCTATATTGTGACGGGGCGAGATCTAGGCATATAGTATAACGTCCACAGAAAATCGGCAGCCAGACAAGATGGCAGAGTTGCCTTTCGCGCAAGCGTCTAACGCACAGGCGTCTTCGTCATCTTCACAAAGTGCCACACTTGCTCCTGTCAATGATGCACCGTAACATCACTCTCCCGTGGCGGAAGCGACCGTCACGGCGCTTGGTACGGCGGCGACGAACTAGCAGGGTGATACGGTTTGAGTCTGGAAATGTGGACAACGTCCAGTCTAGAGTGAGGGGGTCAAAGAGGCATTGTTTAGGGGTGTGATCTTGTAGCTCACGTCACTGAGTTGTCGTAACACTTGTGAGGGCCATGGTAAGTGTGGTAGTAGCTTCTCTGATAAGTCGACTTGGCGGTTTGGTGTCCAGAGAAGTACCAGAGACCCCTGGCGAGAAGTGCACGCTTTGGTGGCAACTGTCATAATGGTCTTTTTGGTGCTCTTGTGATAAGTGCAGCTGATCATGTGCAAGCTGGCGGCTGCATGGGCTCAAGAAACGACATCGCTGGCGTACTCAGTAGACAAGGGGGCAGCCTGTCAAATGGTAACGCTGGATGTCGGACCAAATAGCAAATAAAATAGTGAATAACTAGCTCTGCAGTGCTGTAAATACTTGTGCGCAAAGGTGACAAACAGGAGTGCTTTGTCCGAGTCACGGTGATCTGGTGAAACGTACATTAACAGCATCTGCATCAGCATTCGGTTTCAGACGCTTGGTCAATCAATTTGTCTGTGAATGATAAGCGTTGGTAAGCTTATTGTGCTCAGTGGAGCAGGCGCAGAGAATGTCATCAACAACACGTGAAAGGAAGTACCTTCTTCGATCAGTAAGCTGCTGCCACGGAGCATCGTGATGAAGAATGACTTCATACAAAAGAAAGTTAGCGACGTCGGTGGAAAAGCTTGTCGGGACTGCTTTGGTGATGGCAAAGCAGTGTGGCGTAATTTGTGGCAACTGCAACCCATTTACTTCCGGAGGTGGACGTAGGAAACGTGCCCAACAGTTCAAGGTCAACACGGAAGAATGGTTCCATCGTTATGTCAATGGGCTGTAGGTGACCAGACGGTAGCACAGAGGGGCGCTTGCGGCAGTCGCAAGCAGTGACGTAGCGAACCACAGAACGATACAGTACAGCCCAGAAAAAGCGACGTCGCACACGATCCTAGGTACGAGAGACGCCTAGGTGACCGGCTGTAGGTACGTCGTGTAGTTGTTAGAGAACGCTGGTACTCAGATCGATGCACGAGTAGTAATTCCGGGCCATCGGGGTTGAAGCTGCAACGGTACAGAATATTGTGCAGTTCGAACAGGTGAACAGAAGGGTCTGTTGGAGCAGAGGTCAGACGCTCGATGATGGAGAGTAACGATGGGTCACGTCGTTGTTTGGTGGAGATATCACACAAAGCGTGGATGGAGAGCACGCAGGGGTCCGATTCAAGGTCTGTCAAGTCGGGCGTTTCAACCGGATGACGTGACAAACAGTCTGCGTCTGTGTGCAGGCGTCCCGACTTGTAGTGGACCACGAACGAGTATTCTTGCGGACGCAGCACCCAGCGGCCGTGACGTCCAGATGGGTCCTTTAGCGATGGGAGCCAGCATGATGGTCAGTAACAACAGAAAAAGTTCGGCCATACAGGTAAGGCCTGAATTTTGTCACGGCCCACACTAAAGCTATAGGTCTTCACGCCCAGTGATGGAGAACTTGTGTTTGGCAGGTGAAAGAAGATGACTGGCGTAAGCAATTATGCGGTCCTTCCAGTGCTGTCGTTAGCCGAGGACCGCCCCAATTCCATGGCCACTGTTATCGGTCCGAAGCTCTGTAGGTGATGCAGGGTCGAAATGGGCGAGTATTGGTGGCTTAGTCAGCAGATGGGTAAGAGCCGAAAAGATGTCCGCTTGCTGTATGCCCCATGCGAAGGGAACGTCCTTCTTTAAGAGATCAGTAAGCGGTCGAGCGATGTCGGCGAAGTTGCGGACAAATCGAGGAAATAGGAACATAGCCCTACAAAACTTTGGATTTCCTTAGTTGAACATGGTTCAGGAAATTCTTGTACTGCTCCCACCTAGTTGGGATCTGGTTGAACACCAGCCGTACTGACAAGGTGGCAGAGTATGGTGATTTGGCGATGTTCGAAAGGCATTTTGCAGAATTGAGCTCGAGAGCGGCTCTTCAAAAAACATCCAAAACGAATGGTAGACGTGTCATTTGGCTGTCAAATTTAGTTGAAAAGATGATGACATCGTCTAAGTAACATAAGCAGATGGAGCACTTATATCCTTAAAGAAAAGAATCCATCATGCTCTCGAATGTTGCCAGCGCATTACATAGTCCGAACAGCATCACTTTGAACTGGCAGAGGTCGTCAAGCATGACAAAAGCGGTTTTTTCACGATCCATGGGGTCAACGGAAATTTGCCAATAGCCGGATCGAAGGTCGATAGACAAAAAGTATTGGGCGCCATGGAGGCAATCGAGGGCGTCATCAATCCGAGGCAAAGGGTAGACATCTTCATAAGTGACATTGTTTAAATGGTGATAGTCCACGCAAAAGCGCCAGCTGCCATCCTTCTTTACAACGTGCACGACGAGGAGGCCCAGGGGCTAGATGATGGTTCTATGACGTCTTTAGTAATAATTTTGTCGACTTCATTCTTATAAAATACTTAAAATACTTAATTTACTTAAAATACTTTAAAAATTCTTAAAGTACTTTAAAAAATAAATACTTAAAATACTTATATTTAATAATGAGTTATGCACAGGCAAATCCAGACTTTCTACTTTTATTTCTTGGATTGAAGTAGCAATCAAATGTTTACAGAAAAAACTCTGCAAGAGAAGGTGATCTAAACAAATGTAGAATTGCCTTTTTGATTAAACTCTATACTTCTCATTACTGAAGGAAACTCGACCCGCCATGATGTCCCAGCAGTTATAGTGCTCGACCAATGGTTGCGGAATCAAATCTGGGCAGTGATAGCCGCATTTTGAATGGAGGCAGGAATGTCATCTGAAGACACTTGATAAATTCCTACGGATAATCACTTTTCTCTATACTCAACAGCCAAGGAATATAAAAACTTTTCGAGGCACCTTAGCCTTTTAATTCCTGAATTATGACACTGCCACAGAAAAAGTTGTTTGCTTATTTTCAGCTCTGGATAGCAACCTTGCATTCATTCTGCAGCTAAATCATCTAAAACTCAACTTTAATGCATACTTTTAGGCATGTCGCAAATTCATGACATGAATTCGCGACATGCTGGCATGCATACACACAAAAATACACACACCCGCACACAAAATAACAAGACTGAACTTGCGTCACTCAGGCGAGAAAAAATGAAGTGAGAGATATTGCCCATGCACCATGCTTTCCACTATCAGCCACATAACACCTAATTTAAGCATTACATTCTTTGCACGAGGCTGTGCTAGATTTTTCCTGCTAAAAGCTACCTTCCTTGTGAGTACTTCACAACCGGCATTAAAGGCGGCACACATTTCGTGACTTGCTTGGTCAGAGTTTTCCGGTATATCCCAAATTCGTGACACACTTCATTAAGGGTTTCATAAAAGATCACCTTTTAGCAGAATTATTCAGTTGTGTAACCTCTACATTAGAAATACTGGCACCCCTGCCCTTCTGGGCTTCATTGGGATGAAGTCCGGAGATGTGGCGACGGAGAACACTTCTCCGTGAAAAAGTTGCATTGCAATGGCTACAGGAATATGGACGCTCTCCTGTGTGGGAATGTATGTGGTCTTCGAGGCTGGTTTTCTGTTTAAAGGATGCATCACAATGAACACATGAGTAAGGGCGCTCTCCTGTGTGGGTTCGCATGTGTATCTTGAGGTTGCTTCTATGGGAAAAAGAGGCATCACAGCGGCCACAGGAAAAAGGACGTTCGCCGGTGTGGGTGCGCATGTGCTGCTTGAGGGCGTGGCTCAGCCCAAAAGCTGCGTCACATTGGTCACAGGAAAATGGGCGCTCTCCAGTGTGGGTGCGTACGGTGTCCCCTGAGGTCAGGCTTTCGTGAAAATGATGCATTGCAGAAGAGACAGGAGAAAGGACGCTCTCCTGTGTGGGTGCACATGTGCTGCTTCAGGTTACGTTTTTTTGAAAAGGATTTACTGCAGTGAACACAGCAAAAGGGACGTTCTCCTGTGTGGGTGCGCAAGTGTTCCGTCAGGCTTCGTTTCAGTGAAAAGGACCAATTGCACTGGGTGCAGGAGAAAGGACGCTCCCCGGTATGGGTGCGAATGTGCTGTGTGAGACGGAACTTCACAGTGAAAGTAGCCGGGCAAAGGTGACACTGGAAGGGATGCTCCCCTGTGTGTCGGCGAAGGTGTACTTTCATGTTCGCCTTAATCCTGGTTGTATATGCACACTGCCGGCAGGAATGCAGTCCATCTTCTACTGACACAAGCAAATGGTACTGGTCACGGGATTCCGCAGAAATGGAACCTGCATAGCCACAGGAAGCACAGCAAGGCAATGCAAATCGTAGATCCCACAACATACATATAACTATACTTGAGCAGCAAAATAACAAGAGTTGCTGCACTTATAAATGAGTGTATCCGATAACCTTCACCATTGCGAATGTGTTACTTTACCACACCAGTACATTGATTCAGAACATGCCTCATACAAGTTGCCGTCTGTCTATGCACATATACTTAATCGATGCAAGTATCACCAAATTTGAATATCAGTACACCAAAATAGGAAAATGTGTCTCTGTAAAGAATATAATATTTAGTTTTACGCGGCTCACGAAATTCAGAGTAGCTCAGAACATTCAGAATAGCTTAGGACATTCACACTAGCTACACCCCTACACCGAGGAACTATGTCTAAATAGATATTCGCTTTTAGTATTTCGCCTACACCAAAATGCGACCACTGCCGCCGATCTAGAACGCACGTTCGCACACTAACCCATCAAACTAATTATTAGTGTTTCAAGTACAAGTATCTATATAACCGAGCAGATGAAAACAAAGAGGAACTCCTCGGTTTATTATATTCATGCCAAAGATAACCAAATAAGGTGTACGTTACCTTCACAGAGAGTAACTGTATTCGCATCATGTCCATCATCAACACTCGGCTTCTCGTCTACTAATGCCATAACTTCATTCGCATTATGCCTGTGATCAACGATCGGCTTCAAGTCCACTTCAACTTCATTAGCATAGTGCACGTGATCAACACACGGATCCACGTCCTCTGTAACTTCATTCCCATGGAGCCCATGATCATCACTCGGCTTGTTGTCCACCAATGCGATAACTTCATTCGAATAATGTCCGTGATCAACTAACGGCTTCAAGTCCACCGTAACTTCCTTCGCATAATGTTCGTGATCAACACTCGGCTTCACGTCCGACGTAAATTCATTCGCATCATGCTCATGCTCAATGTTCGGCTTAACGTCCGTCGTAACATCGTTCGCATAATGTCCGTGATCAACAGAAGGCTTCATGTCTACCGCAACTTCGTTCGCATAATGATTTTGGTCCACCAAGTCTTCAACACTCGGTTTTACATCCGTCGATGCACTAGTCTGTGTCAGAATGCCGTCCATTGCACCAACGCCTCCTCTAGTTAGGAGGCTATGAAGTATAGAAAAGGCCATTATTACGCGCGTTTCACCTAGAATATGTCGCGGCTTCACATTACTAACATTGCGCAGCTGTCACGACCAAAGTCACCACTCAAACCTTGAACAACACGAAGATAGCACATTCAAAAGTTCGCCCAGATCCATGGAGGTGACACCACAGAACACACGGAGGAAAAAAAAAAAGTAGGAGAGGCCCAGACACGAACCTTCCTCCCTTAGCCCAGACGTCACTTGTTTTCAAGCCGCGATGAAGCCGGAAGACGGCCATATTGACTGGACAAGTTCTCCTCTCTTGTTTACATCCGCATGTAAAGCAGAAGGCACGACTCTCTCTCCAGCTCGGAAAGCGCGTGAGCTGCGACGATCCAAAACAAACGCCTCCTTGATTTCTTGTGCCTGCCGGATTATTGGCGGTCACTTGGAAAGCGGCGGTCGTCGGAACTACGGTGGTGGCGCCACTCAAGTAGGGGTGTCTTCAAATAGGTTTTTACGTTTTTGGAGCTTAAATGCAACAAAAATAACGTAAAAATTTTCAAAAAAGCGTAAACGTTATCATAATTAACTTCACGTAAGCGATATTTCAACAAGCAACTTTTTGAATACAAGGCATTTTCTAAAATTAGTCACAAACGCCCAAATTGCCGCTCTCAAAGGCCGAGTAAAAAGACCCTTACCCAGACGTATGCAGCGCTGCTATAGATGACCGGCGTTTCGCCCTCATCCGGCAGGCACAAGAAATCTAGGAGGCGTTGTCCGAAACTAATGGAACATCAGATTTGCTGAAAGATGGAGGACAGATTGTGTTAGAAAAACTAGCCACCCTGTTTACGAGGTGTCTCCTGACGGGAAGAGTACCAGAGTCTTGGAAGAACGCTAACATCATATTAATACATAAGAAAAGAGATGACAAGGACTTGAAGAATTACAGGCCGATCAGCTTGCTCTCTGTAGTATACAAGCTATTTACAAGGGTAATTGCTAACAGAGTAAAGAAAACATTAGAATTCAATCAACCAAAGGAACAAAGCAGGATTTCGAACAGGCTACTCAACAATTGACCACATTCATACTATCAATCAGGTAGTAGAGAAATGCTCAGAGTATAACCAACCACTATACATAGCCTTCATAGATTACGAGAAGGCGTTTGATTCAGTAGAAATATCAGCCGTCATGCAAACACTGCGGAATCAGGGCGTAGATGAAGTATATATAAACATTCTGGAAGAAATCTACAGGGGATCAACTGCTACCATAGTGCTTCATAAAGAAAGCAACAGAATACCAATCAAGAAGGGTGTAAGGCAGGGGGACACAATTTCCCCAATGCTATTTACCGCGTGCTTACACGAGGTTTTCAGAAGCCTAGAATGGGAGCAGTTAGGGATAAGAGTCAATGGAGAATACCTTAGTAACCGTGCGCTTCGCCGATGACATTGCATTGCTGAGTAACTCGGGGGACGAATTGCAACTCATGATTACGGAGTTAGACAAGGAGAGCAGAAAGGTGGGTCTTAAAATTAATCTGCAGAAAACGAAAGTAATGTACAACAACCTCGGCAAGGAGCAGCGCTTCAAGATAGGTGATAGTGCACTTGAAGTTGTAAAAGACTATGTCTACTTAGGGCAGGTAATAACCGCAGAGCCGAACCACGAGATTGAAGTAACTAGAAGAATAAGAATGGGGTGGAGCACATTCGGCAAGCACTCTCAAATTATGACAGGTAGATTGCCACTATCCCTCAAGAGGAAGGTATATAACAGCTGTATCTTGCCGGTACTTAGCTACGGAGCAGAAACCTGGAGACTTACAAAGAGGGTTCAGCTTAAATTGAGGACGACGCAGCGAGCAATGCAAAGAAAAATGGTAGGTGTAACCTTAAGAGACAAGAAGAGAGCAGAGTGGATTAGGGAACAAATGGGGGTTAAGGATATCATAGCTGAAATCAAGATGAAGAAATGGACATGGGCAGGGCATGTAGCGCGTAGACAGGATAACCGCTGGTCATTAAGGGTAACTGACTGGATTCCCATGAGAAGGGAAGCGGGTTAGGGGGAGACAGAAGGTTAGGTGGGCAGATGAGATTAAGAAGTTTGCGGGTATAAATTGGCAGCAGCAAGCACAGGACCGGGTTAACTGGCGGAACATGGGAGAGGCCTTTGTCCTGCAGTGGACGTAGTCAGGCTGATGATGATGATGATGATGATGGGTGATGAATGGAACGGGGAGCTTCGTCGATTTACCGAGTCCCGGATCACTCGCGGATGGCCTGCGGACGCCTCGGCTCACGGGCGGCTACGTCAAATGCATGTGATCTAAAAGTCCCGAGCCAGCCCGAGCGGCCTCGGGCCAGCTGCGCGCTTGATGCTGACTGCATCCGCTGTGGCGTCTGCTATGCCAGCCTATGCCGTCTTTCCCTCCATACTTGTGACACAGGACCACAACGCTGACCCGAATTCCAACCTAAACAGCAGTTAGGTAGAGAATTATACCTATTTCTGTTGGGAAGCAACTTACTGTAAGTGAACTACTCGAGCGCGTGTGCATCGCAGACCGGCGCGGTCGTTCTACCGCTGTTTCTCCTAGCGAGTATAACGCGTGTTTGCCCGACCTTCGGGATTACGCACATGCTCGACGTGGCTCAGAACACTGATGACAAGAACTGGGTGCGCAACAATGCGAAATTCCAGAAACATGCGAGAAGCGGAGAGAAAGCAAAGAGAGAGCAAGAGCGCATCGAAAATTTCCCGTGTCTAACTTAAGATGGCCGCACACAGTATGCGCACCCACGCTGTCGTCTGCCAGCTGCCCGAAAGAACTTAATCGGGCGGTCCCGGCCACCCGCAGGCCGCCAGGCACGCAAAAAACGAACATGCGTCCGAGAGATCCAGGACCTGTGGGCGGAGCTTCCAGTTGGTCCCCGAGAAAAACGAATGCGGCGCCGCCGTCCGGGCCGTCCGGAGCCTAGAATTGTGGCAGCTTGGACTGGTTGTATGGCATGACGATATTTACAGCGCGAAAACAAAACGACGACACAGAGACAAGAAGGACACGAAAGACACGAGCGTTCGTGTCTTCGTGCGCCAGCGTCCGGGGCCGTCCGGGCCTAGAAGTGTGGCAGCTTGGGCTGGTTGGTATGGCATGACGATATTCACAGCGCGAAAACAAACGACGACACAGAGACAAGAAGGACACGAAAGACACGAGCGTTCGTGTCTTTCGTGCACCGGCGTCCGGGGCGTAGAAGTGTGGCAGCTTGGGCTAGTTGGTATGGCATGACGATATTTATAGCGCGAGAACAAAACGACGACAGAGAGACAAGAAGGACACGAAAGACACGAACGCTCGTGTCTTTCGTGTCCTTCTTGTCTCTGTTGTCATCGTGTTGTTCTCGCGCTATAACCTACCGTCCGGAGCCGCCCGGGACGTGTAAATCGATGAAGCTCGGGGCTGAACACTCTAGGCCAGCGCGACACCTTCAGCGAAATGATTTCGTCCGAGTATTTAAAGCAAGTAACAGCTCACCGACAACGAAGCAAGTGCACGAGAACGTGCGCTAGATGCACTGACAACGGCGAGTGCTTCCACGTCATTAATTCAGCAACTGCACAAACAACACGATCGGTCGTGCGCCTTCTACGGTTGCATTCCGCCAAGCGGCCGACGCAGCGTCCGGCCACTGTGTCTGTGTTCTGCGTGAAACTCACCGGCGTCAGCATTCTGCGACCGTGGTGACTTTGAGCATGATACGTGCTAGTGACAGTTGAACTCGGTTGCTGTTACGTTGAGATTACGTGCAATGCGAGGGGAAAGTATACGAAGCGGTACAGAAAAGGTGTTTAAATACGCACATGCAAGTTGTTACTGTACACACACAACAAGAAACTACGTACGTATGTGGAAATGGTCCTCATTGCGTCTTGCTGGGCTCAATAGCGTCGTCCGATCTCACAAGCAGGGGCACTGCCCAACCGTCACTGACTTGCAAAGCGTTCGTCGTTGTTCCGCTTTGTCATGGTGCCCAACGTAGTTTCGCTGAACACTTATTGCTTCATCCACGCAATCCGCCGCACGACTCATGAATATGCACTCGTTCTACTGTTGAAACCCCGTGATGGACAAAAGAATTTGTAAACGTTGTTAAGAGTACAGTATACCTCCCAGGAGAACACTGCGTAAACAAAAACGTGGCGCAGAGCGCGGATATTGTCCGCCACGGCTCAGCACGAGACCTGGGGAGGCACACATGCCAGAGCCAGCCGCGGCCGCTGCTAGACCAGCTCCAACGCGCGATACGTAACCATAGCAACGTCGCCATTGTGCCCAGTGAATATAGCCGCCCTGATGTCATTTCTTCCACACTTTTCACGCCGCGCGCCGGCTGGGCATGCCCTCTCGTACCTTTCCTCCCTCCGTGCAATCCGTGGAGCGAAGCCACCATATTTTTTCGCTTCTTTGCGTCAGTTATGGCGATTGTGAGTATGGCACGCGCGTCAAAACAGTTTCTTCCATCTAAATAAGGAATGCTTTAACTCAAATCAGTAAATTTACGGCATTAGCATAGTGATGCCTAGTTTTAGATCACGGAAACAATGATAGGCACGTTCAGCTAGACTTGGGACATGATATGTCGATGCTGCAAGTTCAGGGTGCGATCATTATGCGAGTGCGATCATTAGGCGAGTATATACGGTAATATACCACTCAGTTAACGATACTAGCCGTCTCCTAAAGCAAGTTGTTAAAGGTGCTCGTTTGCGCAACCAATGTTAAGGTAACCTGCAATAATTATTTCATCTCTCTAAGTGCATTCGAGCCAACAGCTCCTGGCTGAAAGCACTTCGAGTTTGTCGTTCGGTGCTCCGCCTTTCGTAGAGGGCGTTCATGATCCGGTCCAGTGTGGGTAACGGGAAAGATCACTGTCCGGCCATGTCACGAGGCGAAGTCGGAGTCAACTCGGCATTCATCGCAGAAGGATCGCACAACGAATATTTGTCACTTGTCGGGCTGTCATTCTTCGTGATCTTGTGCAAATCGGGCTATCGTGGTGAAGGGCGAGTCAGGACTGAGCCGAAGAAGACGTGAGGGCTCCCGTCTCGCAAGCCTTCAGACGATGCCTGCACTCACGGGGCTGCACTGTCAAGATGCATGTCGTTGATCTATGGATTGCCTTGACTCGTGTATATTGAGCCTTCGTCGTGAAGGGCAAGCCAGGACGGAGCCGAAGTCGACGTGAAGGCTCCCGTCTCGCGAACCTCCACACGATGCCTGCACTCACGTCAGTCCATG